CCAGAATGGAACTTCTCAAACTATCAATGTACTATGTGTTCATTAGCCACAGCCTTCCCAAACACTTCATTGATATTTTGAGCTGTCTGTGCTGCATTGATTCCACCTCAGAATTCATATTTGAAAATGACACGAATTTTTGACTTATCCATGGTTTTACAAATATTGCTCTAAAAAATTTTGAAAGATAATCACAAGCCAAAACATGCCTTTCAAAGAAAGAGGATGTGCCTTCACAATAAAAATAAAACCAGAAGTGTCAAAGTGAAGTATCAGAGATATCAGCTGTAAAACTTAGTACTTTATAACTAATATTTCCATCCCACATAAAGGCAGGGTGCTTTAAGACTAAGTAGAACTGGGCATTAGAGGCAGAAATCAGGTGACCAGAGTTCCTGCCCATGCACTCTCCAACAGGGGGTTATCAGTGTTTTTAAACTTCTACAATGGAGAATCACAGCCCCTAGAATGTTCCCAAAAGATACAAAGCAAAAAGCTGCCTGTTTCTCATGCCCTAGGTCCTAAAAAGTGCATAGCATGTTTTTGCTATCTTCTATTTATCAGAACAGTCATAAGCCCACCCAAATTCAAGGGAAAGGGACAGATTCTACTCCTTAATTGAAGGAGTATCACAATTTTTGTGGTTACATTTAATCTGCCTTATTTCTTATTTTTTTTTTTGTCTTTTTCTCTCCCAATTTTGTTTTTCTGCTCTAAGCCTGAACTCTGAATCCAGTTTATAGTAATTGATAAAATCTCTTGGTTTAATTCCAGTCGTTCATTTATTAATGCACTCTTTTCACCTGTTACATGGTTGAGTATTACGGGGGTCAATGATTAGAAAGCCCCACAGAAAACTAATTTTTAAAATATGGACTTTGTTGCCTGGCTTTGAACCCTGCCTCTGCCATTTATTAATTGTAATATCTTGAGAAACTTACTTGAGCCTCAATTTTCTCTTTTGTAAAATGAAAATTATAATGCCTAGATTATGTGGCTATTGCAAACATCAAGTGACATAATGTATAAAAAATACTAAGCATTTGTACTCAAAAGCAGTCCAGTAAAATAGACTAGTAGCTATGATTAATAGCCATCACTGACCGAGCGTGGTGACTCATGCCTGTAATCCTAGCACTCTGGAAGGCTGAAGTGGGCAGATTGCTCAAGGTCAGGAGTTCGAAACCAGCCTGAGCAAGAGTGAGACCCTGTCTCTACTAAAAATAGAAATTGGCCAACTAAAAATATATAGAAAAAATTAGCTGGGCATGGTGGTGTATGCCTGTAGTCCCAGCTACTCAGGAGGCTGAGGCAGAGGGTTGCTTGAGCCCAGAAGTTTGAGGTTGCTGTGAGTTAGGCTGATGCCACGGCACTCTAGCCTGTGCAACAGAATGAGACTCTGTCTCAAAAAAAAAAAAATAATAATAATAATAATAATAGCTATCACTATTACTTACTGTGTGAACCTGAATTAGCCATTTAATATTTCTGGATCTCTTCAATATATAGCTTTTTATTCCATATAATTAAGAAGCTATATTAATGGGGTTTTTTTCCCTATAGTTGTGGTTGATTATTACAGCGAACAGATACAGATTAAAATCAGCAAAGTGAAAAGACACATGGAAAGAAGTTCCAAAGAAATCAGGCACAGGTTTCCAGGTATATCTTCTTGGCAGAGTGACATAGGGACACATTATTAAGATAAACTTATCTGGTCATACTGACTCAGCATGGCCTAATGCCTCAGGATTATAAAACTATTCTTATCAAGCAGAATATTCCAAGGATTCAGGGATTATCTCCCAGGAATGGAAAAGAGGCCTTTTTCAGGGATGTGCAGGTTTTGAGTAACCCAGGCCCGCTGAGTTTACCCTTTCCTTGCCATGCCCATTATTAAGTGTTAATAATAGGGGAAACTGAATGCATATGGTAAATCTGTCCATTGTTCTCAATTTTTGTACAAATCTAAAATTGTTCTAAATGTATAATATACTAAAAATCAGAATTCAATTGGAACAATGGGTTGTATAAGTTGATAAATACACAGGCTTAAAGCATTCTAACACTTTCCTTCAACTTGATTTGTTTAATTGGAAGAGACTGTATCATAAGGGATATTGCCACATTGCCTTGGACAATACTTTTAAGATTTTTATTGTATTTTCATTTAAGGGAAATGATTGAATTTTTTCATAGCAACACGTTTTTCTTGTTCATAGCATTCAAAAAGTAGGAAAAAATCCAAATGCCCATCAACTGATGAATGAATAAAATGGAATGTGTTCAGACATTAAAAAAAAAATTAAAAAATTAAAAAAATTAAAAAACAGGAAATACTGACACTTGCTACAGCATGGATGAAACTTGAAAACATTATGCTAAGAGAAAGCAGCCAGTCACGTAGGACCATATATTGCATGATTTATGTGAAATGTCCACGATAGGCAAAGGCAGAGGCAGAAAGTAGATTGGTAGTTTCCAAGGGAAATGGAAATGACTGAAGATGGGTATGATTTTTTTCTCTTTAAGGTGATGAAAATGTTCTAGAATTAGACAGTCATGATGGTTGCATAGTCTTTGGTGTATACCAAAGCCATTGAATTGTATACTTTCAGAAGTGTGAATTTTGTGGTATGCGAATTATATTTCAATGTTTTAAAACTAACTCTCACAAACTGTCAGGTTAAATTTCACTAACAATATGTTCTTTTTTGTACACTAGATGAGAAGACATATCCCATTTATTTTAAATAAATGTAATTCTAATGTATATGAATGTTTCCTTTATATACCTTTCTTATCACTCTTATTTATTCCATTCCACACGCATGTACACAATCCAGTATCATAAAGGTTAAGACATTAGGAACTCCTCCTTCCCTCGGATATCCTACCATCATTGTAGCAATGGAATTCTTATTATGACTATCGTGGTTTATTATGTTTCCTAATATGTGGAAAAAACCAGATTAGATAATACTAGAATAGTGGCCTAGTATTATAGACAGGAAATAGAATTCAACTGCTGGACTTCTACACCTCTCATTTACAACTTGATAAATTATTGCCATTATTAGTCAAGCAATAAATCTTGACCTATAATTTAAAAAACAGGTTTGGTTTGGGTTGTTTTTTTTTTTTTTGCATGATTACATGCATGTACAAAAACATGATGTACAACCAGTGATATATCGTTACTGAATGTACACACAGAATTCTGATCACTTTTTAGTATAGAAAACATCGAAAATGTCCTTCTTTAATGGACTTTGATAATGTATAATGAGACAAACACACTTTATCCCTCTAACTTTGTTAGATTTGGATTCCTTTCTGAAGGAAGTATAATATCTGTGTATCCTGATTTAGTGATGGCTTCATTTCTAATCAAATATTTGTATCTTCATTTTTGCTGGCATCAAAAGAATCCTTTTATAAACAAACATTTAAACTTGTTTCTGTGTACTGTATATGTTAAATGGCTTTAATTGAGCAGCTGATCTTCCCCTTGTAATTTTATAAAAATATCAGTATAGTAAAAATAATTCCTTATCATTAGAAGAATATGCTTATTATTCTGAATGCCTTCTGAAAAACCTTTTTGTCTGCTTTTAATGGTAGGGATCCAATTGAAGTACCTCTGAACTGCAGCTGCAGTATTATAATGAAAACATATTAGTTAATAATATCACTGATTTAGAAACAGAACAAGTTTTATCTCTGCTTTGTGAATTTAGAACATTAGTGCATCTTACTTGTTTAAACCTGTTTGGGGGAAGATAGGGAAATTAAGCTTTTACTTACGTGTATGTATGTTTGTCCACTCACAGGACTCTTGAGTTTTGATTTTCTGTTAAAGGTCTTAGAATCTAGGTTCAATTTGTACAGAAGCCGATTCTGTACAGTAAATAAAATGTGTTAACCTCTCACTGATTATTTTGGTATGTTCCACAAACTATTTCTCAAATGACAGGCAAATTTTCATTTCTATCATAGTTTCAGCTAAGTCTATCTTAGAGGAGTAAACTGAATATCAAATTCCATGGGATTTTAGATCATTAGTCAAATACATCCAAGTAAAACTGTTTTCACCAAGTCATGACGAGCTAATTGACATGGTATTGGACTATAGAGAAGACCACACCTGTATGATCCAAGTTAGTTTTTCCTTTGGAAAAAGTTATCTGTGAATGCTCAATTACATTGAAAGATATTAAAGTTGATCATGCAATGATTAGTAATATATAGTTAACAACTAATTAGAAGCAAGGTATATTTTACTTTCAACTTCTTATTAATATCACCTCCACCGTTTAACTCCTGTGATGTCACCATCTGTTTATTCATTTTTCAGTCTGAAATACACTAGGATGGCTCTTTAAATTCTAGAACACATAATGGTACAAGCATTGTACCAATGGTACAAACATTGTAGAGTAAGAGTAACTTTGGCTTGAATAAAGCAAAAAGCAGTTTTCCCTTTAGATTTTGTGTATATTTCCCCTTTAAATTAGTTCACTAACAAATTTTTAACATTTTCACAAAGTACAATAATATGAAAAAAAAATCCTTGTTCTGTCTCTTCTTGCTCTGTTAAAGATGCTGAAATAAGAAACAATACTAAAAACATCTGACATTTGAAGAACTAAGCTGAATTGTGTAGAATATCAAATGGTCAGTGTTAACAAGCACCAGAACTAATAATGCATCTGCTGCCTGTGCATGCTACTATATTAAGCTATTTTAGTTACTGGTTAATTCAAGTAAACTGCTGCATAGCAGTAGGGATCTTGAGTGGCTTGAAACCATCTGTATCTCGGGATAGTGATTTTACACACAAACCCATTGCAGGGATGCAGGAATCAAATAACTGTTTTTCCTTTAAATATTTATTAAGATCAAATAAAACTAGCATGGCAAATAATATGGGAAGTTAAATCATCTGTTTTTTCCAATTTCAGACTTGTATAAATTTAAAAGGATCGTTAAGACAGCCACACTACTAAACAATCACAGCAGGTTTTAATATGACAATGTAGAATACACGTAAATATACTTTGCATGGAATGTACGTCTTTCAAGCTCTTTGAATAATCTCTTACTCTCTTTTAACGCAAATTCACGAGGTTTTCCTTTTTTAGGAGTGTTGTTCCTTCCTTGGCAAAGTTGAGACGACAGTTTCTTAAAGCAGATCCTTCCACCGAGGGACTGACGCTCAATTCACACAGGGCGTCCCTCTTAACTGATGGACTTGTACTTGATCCACGGGTTTGCGCCTCGGACCTCAAACGGCGGCTCGTTGCTGAAGAGGTGGTGGCCCAGCTCGTCCAGGGGCGGCTCGGGGTCGGTCGTGGCGAACTGGGCGGCCTCTTCTATCTCCTTCTTCACCTCGGCCTCGATCTCCTTCAGCTCTTCCACGCTGGCCAGCTTGCTGGTGACCATCCTGTCCGTGAGCAGCATGATGGGGTCGCTCTTGTTCCTCACCTCCTGGATCTCCTCCCGCTTGCGGTAGCTGATGCCGGGGTCGCTCATGCTGTGGCCGTGGTAGCGGTAGGTCTGCAGCTCCATCACGATGGGCCCCTTGCCCGAGCGGCAGTGGTCGGCGGCGAACTTGGTGGCCTCGCGCACGCACAGGACGTCCATGCCGTCCACGCGCAGCCCCGGGATGAAGCCGCCGCGCTTGAAGTAGTCGGTGCTGGCGGCCGCGCGCTGCACGGCCGTGCCCATGGCGTAGCGGTTGTTCTCGCAGATGAAGACGCACGGCAGCTTCCACAGCGCCGCCATGTTGAAGGCCTCGGCGATCTGGCCCTGGTTGGCCGCGCCGTCGCCGTACATGGTCAGGCACACCTGGTCGTTGCCCTTGTACTTGCAGGCGAGCGCGATGCCGGCGCCCAGCGGGCCCTGCGCGCCCACGATGCCGTTGCCGCCGTAGAAGTTGGTGGCGTACATGTGCATGGAGCCGCCCTTGCCCTTGGCGCAGCCGCCGCGCCGGCCCGTCAGCTCGGCCAAGATGGCGCGCACCGACAGCCCGCGCGTGTAGCAGATGCCGTGGGCGCGGTACGACGTGATCACGTGGTCCGAGGGCCGGATGCCGGCCTCCAGCCCCACGCAGCACGCCTCCTGCCCGTCGCACAGGTGGCAGAAGCCCCGGATGAACTTCTGCTTGTACAGCTGGTCGGCCTTCAGCTCCATGCGGCGCACCACCACCATGGTGCGGTAGTACTTGAGCCCGTCCTCCCGCGTCAGCACGGCCGTCACCGGCGGGCCCTCCTCCAGCCGGTACAGCTCGCACTGCTTAATCCCGAACGTCGCGTCGTTGGAGTAGTTGCAGGAGGCCACCAGCACCTGGCGGGCTGGCTTCCGGACCACGCCTGACAGAACGCGGGAGACGAAGGCGGCCAGCATCTTCCTCATGGAGCAGCTCAAGAGGGCAGCGGCGGCTCCCAACGGCCGACCGACCGACCGACCCACGGACGACGACGACGTCGTCGCGGACGCCTCGTGGGTCCCTGCCTCGCGCGGGCGCTAACGCAGGGGGCGCCACAATGGGCACGCGGCCGCGTGATGCGCAGGCGCGCTGCCCCGCTCCGCTCTGCCCTGCCCGCGAGGACTCTATGGCACCTTCCAACTGTAAACTGAAGGCTGGGGGGACCGCGCCCTGATCCTGACCTACTGCGCCACCGTCATTGCTAAACCAGACACTCTGAGTCCCTTGTCCCTGCTGCAGTCATCAGCAGCGCCCCTATGTCTCTCCCTTCAGGGCATCAAACAGAAGAGAGGAGCAAACTCAATACAAGAGTCCCGAGAGGGGAGGTTAATGCCAAGGTGTTCCTTCCTGCCACTATTTCTTTGATGTCTTGTTTTTCATCTTTAAAATATGTATGAATATTTCATCCTGCTCTGTAATAGACATATTTAATGTAAACATGTTTATTGTACACGTATGTCATGTAAACATAAAGGTGTAGATCAGCAGTCCCCAACGTTTTTGGCACCAGGGACGGATTTCATGGAAGTTGATTTTTCCATTTTCCCACAAGTTGATTTCCTAGGTGGGAATGGTTTCAGGATGATTCAAGATCATTACATTTATTGTGCACTTTATTTCTATTACTATTACATGGTCACTTGCCACCCACTGATAGGGTTTTGATATATGAGTCTGCAAGCAATGGATTTATTATAGTCTCTGTGCAGTCAGACCCCTCTGCTAATGATCATCTGTATTTGCAGCTGCTCCCCGGGGCTAGTATCACCGCCTCAGCTCCACCTCAGAGCATCAGGCATTATTAGAGTTTCACAACTAGCCTTGAACCTAGATCCCTCCCGTGCAGTTTAGGGTAGGGTTCACACTCCTATGAGAATCCAATGCCAGGCAGAGTTCATGCGGTGATGGGAGTGATGGGGAGTGGTTGTAAATACAGATGAAACTTCCCTTGATCACCTGTGGCGGACCTCGTGGTGTGCAGCCTGTTACTAACAGGCCACATATGAGTATTGCTCCATGGCCTTGGGGTTGCGGACCACAGCTGTGGATTATTTTTGGTTTAGTTAGCTTTACAAAAATAAAATAAATAAAATAAACCTAAAAAAAAGAAAAGAAAAGTCGGTGGTCCAAAAGAAGAAGAATATGCTGCATTTATCCCATGGCTTCTAGACTTTTCTCGCCTGGGGCAGGGGGGAGCAGGAACTACAGAAACCCCAGCCTGAGAGTAACAGTCTAAACCCACTATATAAGTTTTGCCTGGTATGGGAAAATTGGGAGCTGGTTTAAAATGCATTGAGGTGAAACTCTTGTGATGTTCCACCTTTCCTTACTCTTTCTGTCTAATTCACCATTTGGGTTTTGCTTGTTTGTTTGTTCGTCTTTCCCTGTACTTAATCTTTAAGTACATAGATTCAGGTGGTTGTTTGCTTTTATATCAATCAAATTGGATCAGCCTTAGTCCAGAAATCAAGAAGCCTGTTCTTATAATGTCTCTTTAGGGAGGCATTATGGTTAGTATATAAACCCTTAGAAAATGTCACTTCTTAAAAAGTGACCCACCAAACAGTATACAGTTTGGACTGCAAGAGAGCAATAGCGTTTGCTTGGGTCTCAGTAATAATAGTTCAATCATAAGACAGGAGCCTTAGCCCAAGGGCTACAAAGATCACATGTCATTTTCCTCTTTTGTGCTTTTACTAGGAAGATAATTTTGTACTCCAATAAGCCAATCCTAACCAGGAATCCTGTTCTATATAGAATATTAAGCAATTCCCTTTAATACATGCTCTGTTTTATATTCATTGCCTATTTGTGAATGATAAATTCTTACCCAAATTTGCATATTACATGTTCAAAGCAGCTGCCTTTTCTATATCTAGTTGCAAGTATTATTTTGGGCATTTCTTTTGATATTCAGGCAGGAAGGAGAAAATAGCTCGTTAAAAAGTTATGATACCTCTTAAAACTTGATCCTCTCCCCACCTTCCAAACCCAGACATCATAATGGGCGTCATCTTTTCACTCAATTTTAAAGTCAACTTTTGGAATTCATGGTCTTGCTGTGTTGTTTGCTCCCTCTTTGATACTTTGCCTGTCTCCGCTGTTCGCTTTCATTCCTGCAGGTATTGCCTATCTCCAGGGAGCGTTATCTCCATAAGAATGAGAAAAATGACACTGCAGGATGGAACGGTAGTGTTAATGGGTCACTGAGTGACAGCTGAGCCTGCTCTCAGAGGTATCAGCCAGGCTAGCGCTGCCAGGAACACAGAGCTCTACAGTAAAGTGTGCCAATTTAATCTTGTCACATGTAGCCTGGGCTGCAAAGATAGAGCTCCCCTTAAAAGCCCAGTGTGACAAGGCTAAACCCCACTCACTCCAGAGGAGAACATGCAAAGATACTAATTGGAAAATATCTGTACTACAGGTTCCCACAGAAGATGGTCCTTTTTTTTTTTTTTTTTTTTTTTTTTTTTTTTTTGCAACAGGCTCTGGGTAAGATAATAAATAGTAAAATGTGAAACTTCTAGGGACCTCTTGGTAATCAATTACCCTATACCCCCTAAATTCAACTTAAAGATAGCTGAAATCACATTTGCAGAATATAATGTTGAAGCATTTCTATTAAACTGATTAATCATGATGATGACTTTTTTTTTTTTACTTTCGTTGCTATCTTCCCAAAGCTACTCACATTTTCAAAAAGTGAAATTTCTAGTTATCAATGTAAAAGTTTAATATGGCCCAAGGAGATCCAGAGCTATACAGCTTCTCCTATTAAGTGCACCCAGGTATAAGGCTTCAACCTATGCATGGCCAATAGAGTCAATGAAGGTGTTCTTTTCTTCAAATAATGTCTTTGTCTTGTCATTGTTTGATACTATGTTTATTACCAAACAGAACTAAGTCATCTATGTGTTCACCACTGAAATGTTGTTTGCAATTAAAATCCCCATAAATTCTAAGTTTTTAATTAACACCAAATCTCACTTTTAATCTACTTGAAATTAAAGGAAAACAGATGAGCACTTTTATAAGGCCAATGGCAGACTTTACATTTAATTAATAATAAAAAAAAACTAATAAAAGAGGAGCCAGTGATTATAGTAGCACTCATCCATGTCAGTGTGACAGAATTTCACATTTTATGTCTAGTGGTTGATCCTACAAGGGCATTTTTGAATATATCTTAAAAGTGTCACTCCCATTGCATCAACAGCATATAAAATATTTTTTAATGAGAGACACAAAAATGCAAAAAAAAAAAAAGAACAGTTAGCATGTTTGAAGGATATTTACATTTCTCCAGTAATAATTGCACTTTTTCACCAAATGTTACGTGAAGAGAGCTGTTAAGGAGTGAATATGCTCTAGATAAATAATATCAGATCTCATTATATGATTAGCAGAAATGTATCTTCATAGCTCTAAGATTTGGCAATTAAGAGTGCTGAGTAAGAACTTGATGCAAAAAAATTGAGTTATATATAACTCAGAGAAGAATTTTTCCCATTTGGTCTATTACTTTATCTCCCTTGGAGAAAAGGGAAAATATCAGTACCATATTTTGCAAGATAATGACAATCAAGCAAAGTTCCTCTCTAATGTTACGATAAGTGAAGCTATTATACCAGAGCATTTCAGAGGCCTAAGCAAACAATATTTTTTTTTTCTTTTCTTACCCTCACCATGTTTCTAAAATGTCATTAAATAATAATTCAGGACAAATGATCACAAAGAGAACACTTGACTGGAAGTGAGGGGTAAAGTAGGAGTGTTTCTCATCCTGCCAAAAAATGATGGTGTGAGGAAAGGGAAGATGTAAGGGGTTAACTTTTAGTGGCAACAGATCTAGCCATCGTTGTCCTTCTGATGGATAACCTGTCATCTGCACCATCATGCTTATAGTACTCAAGCCACTCTTCCTAGAGTTTTGGATCAGGGTCTAGCAGATATGATAAAAGATATCATAGTACAAAACTGTAAAAGAAAACCTTCTAAACATTTTAATAATCCCCCTATAACTAGAGCTGTAATTGAATGTCGCCAAGTGAGATAAGACATAAAATGTTATGCATAAGATCTGGTGTCATGGTTTGCTATGGTCTAGTGTCTCAAACAGTAGAGGGCCAGTCTAGGAGTCAAGAGTTTTAAACTGATTTCTGCTCAGTGTATTGAGTTGTTTTGTAAAACCATAATCCTCATTCAAAATAAAAATAAATTCAATACATGTTCATGACAAATCACAGCAATTTCAAGATAGTCCACGTCAGAGTTAAATCCATTTGCACTGCCTTCAACATTTTTTATACTTCTTGGGAAAGTTTTTGTTCAGCAGATTTTAATTCTCACATACTTGAAAGCCCATTTTTCAAAATTTTATTCAGTAAATAAACATACATTTCTCCTTAGTAACTTTGACTTTAATAGCAAGTATATATATATAATATATATTATATATTATAATATATAATATTATATTATATACTATATATAATATAACATATTATATATATTATATATTATATATAATATATAACTTTAATAGCAAGTATATATATATATAATGTGATCGTAAAAATGAACTCAACTCAATAGCGAAATGAGAGCTTCGCTTTTCTGTGCAGTCTTGTAGTATATTAGCTTCCTCTTGACTGTACCATTTTATTTTATCTTTATAAATGCCCTTCAACAACCATTCCTTCTAATGACTTTGAGTAGAATATTATGTTTGTAATATCAGTATGCCCATGTGATAGCATAATTAACACATTTATTTCTTTTGACTTTGTTTCTTTAAACAAGACCTAAGAGTCATTGAAAGAAGTTTACAGAAAAGGAAGGAATATTGGCAAAATTCCAGGAAACTGCTGACCCCCTAGAGGAAACTTGAGCAGCACATTTGACCAACAAACAAAGCTTGAGAGGAAAAGACTTTGAGGGAGACTGCAAGTCATGCACCCCACTTTAAGCACCTACCATTGGCCACACCTTTGGGTTTTTTTTTGTCCCATCCTCTGTCTAAGTTTGGGCACAGTGTTACCTATTACATCTGAATCTTGGACCCTAATAGATTCCATCCCAACAGATTCACAGGGAATCCTTGTGAATATATACAGACACATAAGCACATTTTTCTTGGTAAAATAATATTTTTAATAAATGGAAATGAAATTTTAGGTCATTATATGCCTTAATTTAAGACTTAAGGCATTGTAAATATTGTTCGGGTATGTGATAGACTTGCCTATTTTTGCTGGCGATACAAAGTTCACAGTTTGCTCATTTGACCCTCACAGAGTCTGGTTAAGGGAGTTATTCTCATTCCCAATTTCTAGATGAGGAAATTCAGGCCTTGGGAGTTTAGGTGACAGGCAAAAATTATAAATCTAGTCAATCATGTACACACGAAGTGCTCTTCTTCTATATATTACCTTTCTGTACTAAGTAGTAGAGAAATACAGTGATAACATACAATTAAATTTCCCTCTACTGAATCCATTTCATTGGGAGGTGTGCTGTGAGCTCTCCCAGCCTTTCTGGTACTGCCTAGAAGAAAAGGACACATCACCATAGAATGACAGAGGAAGTGACACATGAGCAGCTGTTATAGAGGCAATAAAACTAATGTATTACATTCCAAGCAATAGTTACAATGACAGTTTGTCTTTATTAGGATCAATGATGAGCAAATTAAAAACAGAGTACTGTCACACTGCAACATGCAAAACAGAACACTCTAATTTTGCAAAGTTGTGTGTCGTCTCCTTTAATTTGGTAACAGAGCAGAGCTGTAAAGGCACACTGGGAAATATGAAAATCAGGATCTCATAATTATGCACTACGTTATGAATATGAATGCCGTTTCTCCAAGCAACCTAAGACAATGCCGTAGATGTTTTACAGAGCTTTTCCTACATGAGAATCTTTCTTTTCCCACGGACCCATGGTGCCTTTAGATTCTAAGATATTGCCATAGCACCCAACACTGTAAATCTAAAAGGCCACTGTAGGGGAGCCTTCAAAGTCCATTTTAAATTAGAGGCCCAATAAACATCATCCACATTATGAAAAGAGGGCGCAAGAAGAGTTTTTAAGCTCAAACATCTCATCAAAGCATAGTATTCAGGCAGCAAGATTGTTGGAGATTGTCAGAGGAATTTGACAAGCTCCTGTCAGGGCCACCAGCTGGTCATGCTGCTGCCATTCTCTTGGGCCACGAATATTGCACTGAAAACTTATATTTCTTCCAAAGCTCCTAGCCTTTCTCTGCCATCATTTAGCTCCTGTTCCCACTTCACTTCATAAGAAAACTTACCATCTCTTTATAAGAACGCATTACAACTTTTCCAAGGGATTTTCCATCTTGTATGGCATTTTTTTCCATATTACGTGGAAAATTTATATGGACTGCATACTATCCCTATTGACAGAAGGAGAAACAGACCCAGCAAGGGTAGTAAGCCCAGTAGACACGGGGCATGTCCTCAGTTGATACACTTGATTCATGCAGAGCCACAATCTCACCTTATGATCCAGTGCTTCTTGTATACACACACTATGCAGCTTCCCGACCCCAGCTGTCTGTTGATGAGTTTTTACATCTATCAGAACTTCCTTCCCACAAATCTCAGCGGAAGAGGATTCCTTCTCTTATCTGGAAATCTGAGCCCTCAGCCTTTGCCATGGAACGTTCTACGCCCTCATAATGAGATACTGTTCTGATATTCACCCCACTCCCACACCCCCAAGAGAGAGTCATCAATTTTGTCTTCTCCCTCGGCTTCCTTTCATGCTCAGATTTCCTCAGCTCTGAAAGGAGATACCAGTCCTCACTGCCTCTTTTAGATCTCATCCTATATTATTCCTTTTATCTAGTCCAAGCTCGGCAAACATGCAGCCTGCACCCACAGTCTCCGTTTACTTTGCTCTAATTGCTTCCATATGCTTCTACAATCTGTGTCACCAACAATGAACGGAAATTTCTCACATCAAGGACTCGGTTAAATTTAATGACGACTTTGGTATTATCACTCTCTGAAACTCTCCACTACATAAGTGTTTCTCCATGGATATTCCCTTACATCAACTTAAAAAAAAAAAAAAATCATGTTCTTAAGCTGCTTATACCCCAGACTTCATTTCCTGTGTGTCAACCTCAACCCAAAAAAGTAAATGTGGGTCTAAGGTTTAATGATATGTGCTCTATTCTTGCCAGCTTAAATGATTACACACAGGGACTCATGATTTATTGGTTTAATTCACAGCAGTAAGGAGATGCCAACTATATTTTCAATATTAACTCCCCTTCACTCTCTCTAGTCTACCAGAAAAAAAATGTATTTTCAAGCCCTATAGCTATTTAAACTTGAAAAGTCATAAGAAGAAATATTTTCTATCTTTTCTGCATTTAAATAAAAATATCTTCC